TTTTACTTTGATTTTAATTTCAGTAATATAAAAGATTATAATAATCAAATTACCTTTCAGAGATGTTATTTGATTGTTACAGTCTCTGATAGTCCGTATGAAATTGGTCATCCGATCTAAAGGTTAACCATACATACAAACGATATTGAGTTTTATTATGACGTGACTATCGTAACCAATGGTTGGAGACTCTTGGTGACATGGCTCAGAATCGATCACAATGGCGTCGGTGTATACACTCCCTGTCTTCCCGTAAACTAAGAGATTAAAATCACTTCATATCTTTCTTTCTACGAACCAACTCTTTCTTCTTGTACTATATCTCTATATGCAATCTTTCTCTTACATATTACAACCTTTGACCTAACCACTGCTATGAATCCGGTATTCATCTTGTTGTGCTGATGCGGTATGGCAACCTGGACCGATGCACATATGTGCCTGGTCCTACGTTGTAGCTGACTGACTGATGACGTTTATGACTCAAGACTCAAATGATTTTCTTCTATAAATGATAATGATTTTTGTTATATATTGTACAAATGTTATTTTCTATTTTATGGTACTTTGTGATCGGTTTGATTGGTTTATAAACTGAGTATGTTTGGAATATAATGATTCATATTGCAGACGCTGAGACTGGTGTTCTGGACTCAACTAGCTTGACTAGACAGGGAAGTGAGACCAATCAGGATTCTAGCCTGTTCGCACGTGTTTTACACATCATTGATCCGATCGATAATTCTCTTCTCTCTCATCGGAGATATTGTTGCGTTATACAATAACAGGGCATGCAGGTTCACAGTTATAACAATTTTATTTTAATAGACTTATTCAATTCAGTACATTACAGAACACTTATATAGATCGGTCTAATAGAAGCCCTTAGATACAAACGAATGGATCGAATTCTTCATTTAAGTAGTATGTAACAATGTGTATGTTATGAAAACGTTTCATTGTATGAATATATAGTCTGTAAAATTAAACAAAAAAAAAACCACAGTCACTTGCCTTCTTCTCGAGAAATGTTTGCTTTTAAATTCACAAAATATAGACCATTATTTGTCTGTATTAAATCCTCAAGATGGTTCGACTCGACATCTGAAATAAGTAACAGAATATCATTACCAAGATTTGATTTGATAATTTCGAATACATTGAGCATTGGGTAGATTGTTATAAATAAATAAAAGTAATAGATATCCCAATGAGTAGAACAATTAGATTTTCTGACGTTTCGTCACTTAGTGTAAGCCACTTCTTCAGAGTAGATAAATAAGCAAATTAAAACTAATCCAAGTTTAAATAGTACAACGGAACAATGCAAGAATATTGTGTGATCAATAAAATAAAACAGGTCTGAACAAGTTAATGTCATATATTGACTTGTATTCAGCACATCCTTCCAGTGTTAAGATCTCGTTAGCCTTAAATCTATTTCTGGAAGAGCTAACAAGATCATCACATCAGAAGAAGACAAACATAAAGAACAAAAGAATGTAATTAGTATCTTACAATTTAATAATTTTCCTGTGAAGATTATCAGAAGTATATTAAAACAAGACGATTTAATGAGTTTTAATAATGATTCGAATGAAATGTCATAGATTGGTCATGCAATTTTACCATACCGTCATGGTAGAACAGAAGAACTCCAAAGAATCTTAAAATAACACAGACAAATAACAAACACACTTGGAAATACTTTAGTTCGCTTAAGAGATAAAATCACGTCCATGTCCACACAGAATGTCGTCTACAAATTGGGTTGTATCGATTGTAATCCCTTCTATATTAGAGAGTCATCTGGAAAAATCTTGACTAGAGCCAAGGAACATATTAGACACACAAAGAAACTTTCTAACAATTTTGTAGAATTGAATAAACTTCAAATTAAATTGGCAATAGCAGTTCATGCCATTTTCAACGACCATCAAATTGATTTTACAAAGGCTTTCCCAATTACAAAGAAAGGAGAGTTACTGAAGCATTCCATATAATGCTTAATCCTACTTCATTCAATAGAAAAGAAAGCCTTACCATACATCCTACTTAGACTATCTATCCTAGTCATTCAGTCTGATCGTATTTACAATTTCACATCATCATCTTACAAATTTAAACTCTATCGTTTCTCATCATATAAGTCACATTATTTTCCACCTTTAAAAACAATACACACATACATACATATCACTTATAAATCACCTTGACCGAAATGACATAACATTAACTTGTTCAAACCTGTTTTTTTATTGATCACACAATATTCTTGCATTGTTCCGTTGTACTATTTAAACTTGGATTAATTTGCTTACTTATTTACTCTGAAGAAGTGACTTGCACTAAGTGACGAAACATCAGAAAATCTAATTGTTCTACTCATTGGGATATCTACAAATCTATTACTTTTATTTAAATAGAGCAAGAACAAACATTGATGTAGAATAGTATGAATTCATATTATTTCGAGGTTTTGTCGTCAGCTGCTTACAAACCAAAATTGTGATAGAATTTGTTTGACATGGAGATAGTGTGAACACAATTGACATAGATGAGTGTAAATTACTGGATTACAATAAGAACTATATAGATATGCTAGAAACAGGTCAGAGGTCAAAAGAAGGGGGGTTAATCCAGGGTGGGTGGTGTAATAATTTAGTGAAGTTCATAAATTGTGTGATAATTGTAGAGATTAATGGAATTGAATAATGATAAGGTAGATTACGTAATAATAATGAAATAGGGTTTGGAAAGTTAAGATGATTTAAGAGGATCAGGTGATGGAAATGTGTGAATAAAATTCTAAAAGACTAATGTTTGAAGGAAGAATATTCTTTTCGATAAATTCTCTTCAGGTTCTACAATTATCCCATATCCAAATTAATAATCCGAAAAATGGCCAAGTTAAGGGGGAAAGTACATCGTTTAGAGCATGTGAATTTAGGATTGTGATAAAGAAAATACAATAAAATTGTTAATGTTAATAGGACTCATATCAGAATGTAAACTTGAATCTGCGTATATGTTAAGTGAAATCTTTTAAGATCCATGATCAGAATAAATATGGGTCAAATAGGGTGAGACAGAAATAATAGTGCAATTACAATTCGATCAAATAAGTACGACGTAATACAGAGGATGAATGAGAAGTGAATGAATCATGTATAGGAGAGATTAATGATGTTTAACCAATAATACGAATAATAATAATAATAATAATAAATACAAAGATTTATGAATAAAGATGACAGGGACAATTACAATTGACTACGAAAGGTCGTAGTCAAATTGGGTCATTCAATAGATAAGATTATGATTGATTAATTCGCCTTGATGTTGTCCAGGGGAGGAGGAGTGGCTGAATATATTGCTTCTGTACGCAGAGCTCCGGTTTCTTCATTCGGATGGCTACTGCTTCAGCCGTTTGAAGGACTTTCAGTCCTAAATTCACATACTCTAAACGATGTACTTTCCCCCTTAACCTGGCCAATTTTTCGGATTATTAATTTGGATATGGGATAATTGTAGAACCTCAAGAGAATTTATCGAAAAGAATATTCTTCGTTCAAACATTAGTCATTGAATATGACGGGGATCTTTAAACGATTAAAATTTTAGTTTAAGAATTAGGTAATAGGGGGGGGAATATAAAATATCTTAAAATAAGTAAATGAATAAAATAACCAAAACACACCGAAAAACGGAAACAAAGGAGATTACCAGGGTAGTGATAAGTTTATTAAAATCTCTTTTGGAATGCATAAATCCGGTTTCAGTTTCTTAATTGCAATGGCTTCAGCAAAGCGGAAAGTGGTAGCACTTCATTGTCTATTGATAATTTTAAACGCGTACCGAATATCGACGGTATGCTCGGTGTTAAGTAGATGCCGAGCTATTGCATTGTTAAAAGCTTTAATCCCTCGCAGTGTCAAGTTCTTCGGGAATATGCTTTTATTTATAATCATTACTTCAGTTGATTTTCAAGAACTGACGTTCAGTTTCAAGTACACTGAGTCAAATCACTTCATGTATTGAATATCAAGTTTGAAAAGATTATTGAAAATAAAGCCTTGTAATGGACCATTGTTCAAACGTGTTGTTTATCATAAATTAGTTATAACCGTTTATCTGTCAACCGATCAATTGAACACCTACTTATTCATTATAACATTGTAATCACAATTGATTGATCACTGGGTGGTGATCAATCTCAATCCTATTGACTACCTCCAACCACCATCTAATCTCATTACATAGTGCCCGCAGTGTCGAGTCACCTAGACTGGTGGCCACATTGCAACATGATCGATAGCATTCGATCTGCACTAATAAGGACTAGACAAGCATGAGATTGATCACCACCCAGTGATCAATCAATTGTGATTACATCTCAGTCCTACAGGAGGTTAGTCACGGCCCGGATAGCTCAGTGGTAACGTCTCTGACTGTGAAGCTGGGTGACACGAGAGCGAATCCGCCAGGGAGCACCAGTTCCCTCAAGATTACAGGTACACCTTGCTGACGAGTGCCAAGTAGCACGAAACCCGGGTCCAGGGTTTCCTGTTGACTACCTCCAACCACCATCTAATCTCATTATAACATTGTTTCATATCGTTTAATCAGTTATTTTCATTAGGTCATACAAATTCCATTAAGAAGTCAAATAGTATTTTTATTGATTCATTTATGACTTCAAAGTAACAATTAAATAAAGGTTTCAATGATTGAAAGTTAGTGACTGTGTTTCGACTGATGGACAATTATTACTATGACAATATATAGCATAATTGATACTTCAAAACAGAAAGATCAATGATTGAATAATAATGAATAGTTTTCAATGGAAACAAGCATTTTCCTACTTAATCAATGTTTTAGTCAATTATAGTATCATATTTTTCTAGAACTTTTGTTAACATTAATCAGAAAATAGGCCTAAATGACAAATTTATAAAACAGGCAAACATGCCAAAACAGTATTTGAAGTACATTAATTAACACAAATAGTAAACACTATACATCAGATTTATGAAATCATGTAAGACTGATGATGATGATGATGATGATGATGATGATGATGATGATGATGATGATGATGATGATGATGACGATGATAGAGATGGCAAATATGATGGTGATAATATTGTGTTTGTATACTGGATCAAACGTGAATATCTCAGCATGTATTTGTAAAAGTGCATTTTCAATAGTACTGATAACTTACCAGTCTGTTTGGATGTTTGAAGGAGCAAAAGCAGTGAAGCAACGTGAACCAAAACTAAACGAACCATATTCATTGAAACTACAGAATTTATTCTTCTGCTTATATATGATGATGAAATGAACAAGGAAGATGATGTGAATATTAATTACCATATAAAAGATTAAACAATCTAATTAACATTTAGAAACTATGCAAAATTCATTCAATGAATGAATAAAGTACAGACAGATACACATTGCATACATTCTTTGACCGATATCAGTATCTCTAAAAGAATATTCAACCATCAATTAATCAAGTTCGTCTCATTATTATTCAAGGATGAAGTCTGTGTTTTCTGAAGAGAGAACAGTTGAGGGTCAGTCGACCTTTCAAAGTAAGACAAATAAACTGAACAGTGTTGTTTACTGCTAATTAGAAAAGAGAACTTCATCAAAATCAGACAATCTATAAAAGTGATATGCAGATAACTATGTATCTGAAAAATTTATGTATTTCGCCTGATGAACAATGTACGATTATTCGTTTATTTTACAACTTACTTATCGACTCATCCAATAACACTTTTAATTACTTCTTCATACTCGCAAATATATTACTTAGGTCGTTTGCAGCTCGTGGAATATGAGCCTCAGATCAGGATTCTTTGAATTGTCCCATACTAAACTCTCCGTTTTAGTCGTTGTCAAGCGCTATTTATTGTTTTGATTTGTGCCTTAAATTCCTGACGAAAAATCTCCTTATGGCTATCATATTTCTAATTCGCAGCTTGACTGGTGACTCAGTTTGATGATTTCCATAATGTGAGTCAAATTAACCTCCTGAGTCGTTTAATAAATTCCTGTTCAGCTAGAAGTTGGTTTGTTCTCTGCCACAGTATGTTGTTGCTGATGTTTAGTGTCTATCGGATCTGAAGTATCTTGTGTAAACAACTGTTCATAAATATCTCTATCTGCAGATGATGGTGATAGTGGTTCAACAAGTTTTTACTCCGCACAACAGAAATGTCTTGACGTTTGTATTGAAGATTTTGACTTTTGTATTGACGGGAGGTTCTTTCAAGTACGATATTTCTTTCAATTGTAGCAATATTGCTTTTCACAATCTAGTAAACCTCCAGAATAAGGGAGAGTTCCGAAACCAACTAACTGAGAGTTACTATTCAGGTACGACTCTGCACTTCAGTCACTCGTAAATTATTTGTGTGGTGGAGGTGACGTATCCAGGTGCTCCACAGTGTCAGAGTAGTTTCGATAAGGCTCTCTTATCTACACAGTCAAATACTTTCTAGTAGTCAAGGAAGTTGGTGTTTAGTGATAGACTCCATTCAACTGATTGCTCATCGACGATCTATAGTGACGTGAAGATAATAAGGCTCATCTTTGTAGTTACCTCCATATTTGAATAAAATGCTTCATCTCATATGTTGTCTATACCTTCTACGTCATACTGATAATCACTGTACAAATACACCGGAACTCGTAACTGATAGTTAAGATGGTGGCAGTTCCCTCAGGATGCACAAAAGAGAATGGAGACTGGTCAATTTTATTATTCAACACTTACAACAAGAAGATATCATTGAAACAACATTTAATTTATGTTAATTGATAAAGCATTGAGATTACTAACTGCACTGGTCCAAACTTTAACGATCATTCCTAAATGATTTCTGTTACTGCAGTATTATTACTATTATTATCTCATTCGGCCCAACATCACTTCAAACTTTACCACTGAACACATGAGATGGTGATATAGATTTAACGGTTCGAGACAAATCATGACAGCTTTTTCATGTCATACTTTGTTCCAAGAATCGAACCCCTACATTTCCGATCTACACTTAGAATAAGACTGAATTTCTTATCAATTAATTCGTTATCATTAAATTGACTTGAATTCATGTCAAGTTATTTCCTTCTGAGATTGATTATAAAGTAACTTTGAATGATTGGGAAGGTGAAAGTACTTAATTCTTCTGAAAATATTCATAAGCATTGTGTATATTCCATACTTTATATGGGTACAATCACTTTTAAACATTAGAAAACTACTATTTTCAAACATTGATCACTTTTCTACTGTTTGATCAATGTTCATGAAATATTTCTTAAATATATATTTATACTACTTTTATGTTGTTAAGTATAATTTGTCTGTATTTTGAAAGGAAATCATATAGATGTATGTGTTGTTGCTTTACCCAAGATTTATCTTGCAGAACAGATGTTTTCATAACCTGTTCTAAATAATTAGTCAATAAACACAGACTGAACTGTAACTAATCACTGACATGTTAAATTTTCAGTATTATCCACAATATGCATCAACTTCTTCTAAATGAAGTCAATCAATTAGTTTACTTATTAAGACGATTGTGTATGATGTTGGTACAGGTAATGTTGCCTATCTGATTACTAGAAAACACCAACGTGAAAGTCGATTTTTGTTGTTTGACCAGTTCAATGTGAATGTATGTGTTTACTTGCCCCTATGCAGCTCACAGAATGCTACTTCGTCAACTAACACTGATCAAAACACAATCAGTAGTATCGACTATCTGCTAACTAAAACCATAACAACTGGCAATGATATAAGAACTGGACTGATGGAGTGAAATGGTGACTTACTGAACTTAGTTACTCAGTGGATGTTGTGAAGGCTAGATGTTCAGAAATCATTAGTGAATTTCTCATTTTATTAGTTTGCCTGCGTAAGTTCTCGTTTCCTACGTTAATACCGTAAACACCCATTATTACGTTCATTTTTCTCTTCTAGTGTGATTTTACCGACGTTTTTCAAGGCAACATTTGCATCTCATATATACGTGTGAATCGATTGCTTGTTCGTTCGTTCGTTCTTATGAACAGCTTGCGGAAGAACTATTTATTCGACCTAATATGGTTTTCCATCTCTAGTAAGTCATACTGTGGTGCAGTGGAATAGCTTGGCTTGTCTCGTAGTTGTATGGCTAACAATCGTTGTATTAGGCAGCACTAATCCCTCGAACATAACAGTGCATAAAGTGTTACTTAATAAAAGGGAGCAATACTGTGGTTCAGCCTGAATTTTATGATCGATGCAGGTTGAATGTTTGTTTTATTCTAGTAAATGACTAATAGTGAGAAACTCATAGTGTAATGATACTTGTTAGTTAGTTAGTTAGTTCGTATTTATACATGAACTCCAGTTAGAAAAAAGGTAGTTTCAGAATGTCGAATGAAATGAACAGATTGCAGTTAAGTTTTGGATTAGCAGAAATCAGTTGTCATTTCGGCAAATGACTATCATTCAACAATTTTATTCACCATATTCTTCTTACTATTCTCATTTCCACCATCCACAATTTCAATTCAAAATTGTAAGTGAATAATGTTGAAATTCAAACACTGGATTTTGTAATGAAGGAAAACTTTTATGATTCGTTATTTTGATAGTAAATAATTCGTTGTTACAAAATGTTGGTAAACAAAAAAAAAACAAAAACTGACTGAAGTCCGGATCATTATTCTCAAATTCAAATTAGTTTACTGTCGATTATCATCTACAATTGAAACATAAAGATATAGAATGATAAGCAATATGATAAATCACACAAGTGTATATTCGAAATAAACGAATGGACAGAAGTAAGACGGTTGAGTAGATCTTGATCAACATGATTGTATTTATTTCTTCACAACATGATAGCGATCTCACTGATGCCATGTTTCAGATAATCATCGCGTAGTCGGTCAAGTGTCAACTGGACTTGGGAACATTTATTCAATTCTACACTTCACTAGACTGTATCTCAACACAACTATTTGAATAGATATTTCAATTCAACTGGAATCATGTATCGAATCTAATGAACTCAGCTGTAGTAGTTCGAAACTCTACTTCACTCACTTTCATCATTCAAGCACACAGTCTTCATACAACACGTTTCCATCAAATATTGTTTCATATAATAATTGTCAGTAAATGTGATCCAATAGGTTACTTACTTATCACTTTTATTGCTTCTAATAGGAATCTATTCTCAACTGAAATTTGAGAAAATGAAACGAATCACAGAATGGTTGAGTGTTTTATTTACTTTAACGTCCGTCTCGTCATTGGTGAGAAGACTAAGAAAATGAATTAGTGGTTGTTCTCTGTTAATGTCACATATGATGTTTGTATGGACAATTGTCCGATAGGTTGTTATCGTTCAACATTGTTGTTTATGCGAAAGTGATGTTTGGTCGAATACTTGCTATCGAATTAGTCTTCAACGTAGAACGCTATCTCACCGTCCACACTTTGATATTATAATTTAGAATTGTCACATATATGATGGGTCATTTGTGCAAGAACGTCCGAATTCGGATTAGTATCAATAAACTGTTTATTTTTACATGTGACATCCGTGTCTTTTTGACTGTGTTCATTCACATTAAACCATCGGATTGAAGACTAAGTGGACATTTCATATAATACAACATTTTATAGATAACCATCGTTCAGTCAATTGCATATGGACCTTACACAGTTGCTTAATTAATCAATCAATCACATTATTCAAATAGGTTTTCTTACAGAGTTCCACATACAGATTTTCAACACCACGGTATTTCTGACGAACAGAATCATCTATTTTTCTTATAGCTGAAATACAAAATAACTTTGGTTAGGGAAACTTCCATACAAATTGTTTATTTGAAGACATATTTCAATGTATCCTCATGGTCGAAATAATGAAAAATATTGTATATAAAATGTGATGGGCGGCTGAGGAAGAATACCAGATGGTCACATTGACCTCCTTATCATTGCCACATATTCTCACCCACTTGTCAATGTTATTGTGAATATTTAGTGCATGGGATCAAAATAGATATTTTACCTTTGATTCCCTTGTCTAGATTTGTACTGTAGCATGATATACATCCCCCATGAGTATTACGCCCGTTATTATTGGTTTCGCGTTCCAATGATACCGGAGGTGAT